TGACGAGTTCATATCTTGGTGCGGAGAATGGCAAGGCTCACTGATGATGCCGACTACGATGCCGGCGAAAAGTTTGATAATGCATCAAGTCCACTGTCAGATGCTGGGAATCAATACAACTACCATAACAGACGACTTCGAACTAGGTGTGTTCTAAATAGTTGCGACAACGAGGTCAACCCACTTCTATAAATCGAAAGGAGACTCCGACCATAACAGAGGCCACAACATCTTGGTCTTCATATATAAAATGTGATAAGCCGGTATTACTGTTTATCGTAATAGGTGTACTGTAATGGTTACACAGGTCTTTGACGATAGTCAATTAGAATATACAAAAATAGACCGTGAAGGGGACTCACCCAGTATCTGGCGATCACGATGAACGAGTCTCTAGCAAAGAAATGGCCAAACCAGCGCTGTTCAACCGGTTGCCACTTTCCGCCTAACATAATGAACTGTTGTAGACTGGAAGCCGTATTGGCTCCTGTCCCTGCCACACAGCCAACCGATGTACCGACAGGGGCTGATAGGCCACTTGGGGTATTGGATACGCCAGTCAAACCACCTACCAAATCCTCGTTCCATTCGGATATAAGTTGCATTGCCTCATCCCAGCCAATTGCCTGTTCCCGGGGTGCCAAAAGGGCACGCAGATCAGTGCGCAGTTTATCACGCTCCAAGATGGAGTTAAGGTCAGCTCCACGACGTGCAACTGACTCTGCTGTTCGTGTGAAGTCAACCGCTAACGACTCGTTCCAGCCGCCGAATTGAGCATGAAAGATCTGGAGATAGATGATAAAAGAGGAAGGGCAAAGATTCGATAGTGGGTTTGGAGACAGAAGAGGATAAGGAAATTAGAGAGAATGAGGGAATAAAAAGAATAAACTTATAAATATGTATTTTTATAAATACAAGGCACGAAATCTAACAAGCGCTAGTAAATCTAGGATAGCCCATTTGCTAAATTGCTAAAGAATGGTGACAAATGCCTCACTTGATTCTCATTCCCACTAGTGCAAATGTGGGGTGGGGGTCGGCGGTACCAGGCTTGAATGCCCTCCGTGATTGTTTTAGCACCATCATCAGTAGTATTGGTATCACCAATGGCTGCTAATGCCGAGGCCCGAGCGGCAGAGACAAGCTCCTCTGCTAGACTAGCTTCTGCACCGCCGAAGCAGCCACGCGGCATCAAATCAGCCAGCTCGGCAACAAGGCGACAGCCGGCAAACCTCAGAAAACGGGTTGACTTTTCACCTAGCCATACAAACATCTCGCCGCCGTTGTCTATAAGATAAACGTGCGTCTCATGTAGCATGTCCTTCTTCAATTGTCCTGCTGGCAGGTCAACCTGTAGGGGGTAAGAAAGGGACAAAAGGGAAATTAACAATACTCTGGGTTGAGAGGCTCTCGTAGGTAAGGGCAATAAAAATAAAAAGATAAATGAAAGTTTAAAAAAATTAAAAGGCAACATAAAAAAGACAATAAGAATGCACATGAATGGTAGCGGCGTGAACTCCAAATAGCAACGGTTAAATTAACTACTACACACACCAAGTCAAGATCATGAAGCTGGTCCATTCCCTCAAGAATGTTTCGGGTTGTTTGTAGACAGTTTTTA